GGAGCAGTGAAACCCTGGAGCAGTAGATGCAGCGGGTAGCATCTGGGGAAATTTTGTTTCTCACAGAGAAGCAGCTTGCCTCTGGAGAAGCAGATGGAGTGGTAGCATTTGGGGAAACTGTGGTGGTCACAGAGGAGCAGTGTACCCCTGGAGAAGCAAATGGAATGCTAGCATCTGGATAAATCGTTGTTGTCACAGAGGAGCAACATGCCCCAGGAGCAGAAGATAGAATAGTAGCATCTGTGGAAATTGTGATTTTCACAGAAGAACAGTGTGTGCCTGGAGTAGTAGATGGAGCAGTAACATCTGGTGAAATTGTGGTTGTCAAAGAGGAGCAGTATGTCCCCGGAGGATCAGATGAGAGTATCATCTGGGGAAATTGTGGTGGTCACAGAAGAGTAGTGTGCCACCGGAGGAGTACATGGAGCTGTATCATCCTGATAAATTGTGGTTTTCACAGAAAAGCAGCGTGTCCCTGGAGCAACAGCCGGAGCTTTAGCATCTGGGGAAATTGTGGTTGTCACAGAGGAGCAGAGTGCCCCCGGAGCAGCAGATGGAGTAGTAACGTCTTGGTAAATTGTGGTTGTTACAGCGGAGAAACTTGCTCCTGGAGCAGTAGATGGAGCAGTAGGATCTGGATAAATTGTGGTTGTCACAGATAAACAGTGTGCCCCTGGAGCAGAAGATGGAGCAGTATCATCTGGGGAAATCGTCGTTTTCACAGAGAAGCAGTGTGCACCTGGATTTGTTGATGGAGCAGTAGTATCTGGTAAAATTGTGGTTGTCACAGAGGAGCAGCGTGCCCCGGGAAAAGTAGGTGTGGAGTAGTAGCAACTGGGGAAATTGTGGTTGTCACAGAGGAGCAGAATGCCCCTGGAGCAGCAGATGGAGCAGTAGCATCTGGGGAAATTCTGATGGTCACAGAGGAGCAGCATGCCCCAGGAAAAGTAGATGGAGTAGTAGCAGCTGGGGAAATTGTGGTTGTTACAGAGGAGCAGTAGCCCAGGAGCAGTAGCATCTGGGGAAATTTCCTTTGTCACAGAGAAGCAGCTTGCCTCCGAAGCAATAGATTTAGCAGTTGCATCTGGGAAAATTGTGGCTGTCACAGAGGAGCAGCCTGCCCCAGAGAAGTAGATGGAGCAGTAGCATCTGGATAAATTGTGGTTGTCACAGAGGAGCAGCATGTCCCTGGAGCAGCAGATGGAGCAGTAGCATTTGGGGAAATTGAGGTTGGCACAGAGGAGCAGCGTGCCCACTGAGCAGGATATGGAGCAGTAGCATCTGGGGAAATTGTGGTGGTCACAGAGGAGCAGCCTGCCCCCGGAGCAGGAGATGGATGGGTAGCATCTGGGGAAATTTTGTTTGTCACAGAGGAGCTGCAGATGGAGCTATCCCATCTGGGGAAATTGTAGCGGAACAGAGGAGCAGCAGATGGAGCTGTAGCATCTGGGGAAATTGTGGCTGTCACAGAGAAGCAGCGTGCCCCAGGAGCACCAGATGGAGCAGTAGTATCTGGATAAAGTGTGGTTTTCAAAGAGAAGCAACATGCCCTTGGAGCAGCAGATAGAGAAGTATCATGTGGGGATATTGTGGTTGTCACAGAGAAGTAGTGTGCACCTGGAGCTGCTGATGGAGCATTACCATCTGAAAATATTATGGTTGTCCCAGTGGAGCAGCCAGCCCCGGAGCAGTAGATGCAGCAGTTGCGTTTGCAGATATTGTGGTTGTAACAGAGAAGCAGCATGTCCTGGAGCAGCAGATGGAGCTATAGCGTCTGGGGAAATTGTGGTGGTCACAGAGGAGCAGCATGCCCCTGCAGCAACAGATGGAGCAGTAGCATCTGGATAATTTGTGGTTGTTACAGAGAAACAGGGTTCCCCAGGAGTAGATGGAGCAGTAGCATCTGGGGATATTGTGGTTTTCACGGAGGAGCAGCATACCACTGGAGCAGAAGATGGAGCTGTAGCATCTGGGAAAATTGTGGCTGTCACAGAGGAGCAGCCTGCCCCAGAGAAGTAGATGGAGCCATAGCATCTGGATAAATTGTGGTTGTCACAGAGGAGCAGCATGTCCCTGGAGCAGCAGATGGAGCAGTAGCATTTGGGGAAATTGAGGTTGGCACAGAGGAGCAGCGTGCCCACTGAGCAGGAGATGGAGCAGTAGCATCTGGAAATATTGTGGTGGTCACGGAGGAGCAGCCTGCCCCCGGAGCAGGAGATGGAGGGGTAGCATCTGGGGAAATTTTGTTTGTCACAGAGGAGCCGCAGATGGAGCTATCCCATCTGGGGAAATTGTAGTGGTACAGAGGAGCAGCAGATGGAGCTGTAGCATCTGGGGAAATTGTGGCTGTCACAAAGAAGCAGTATGCACCTGGAGCTGCTGATGGAGCATTACCATTTGGAAATATTATGGTTGTCCCAGTGGAGCAGCCAGCCCCGGAGCAGTAGATGGAAAGTTGCATTTGCGGATATTGTGGTTGTAACAGAGGAGCAGCATACCACTGGAGCAGCAGATGGAGCTGTAGCATCTGGGGAAATTGTGGCTGTCACAGAGAAGAAGCGTGTCCCCGGAGCACCAGATGGAGCAGTAGTATCTGGATAAATTGTGGTTGTCACAGAGAAGCAGCATGCCCCTGGAACAGCATATGGAGAAGTATCATGTGGGGATATTGTGGTTGTCACAGAGAAGCAGTGTGCACCTAGAGCTGTTGATGGAGCAGTAACATCTGGAGACATTGTGGTGGTCACAGAGGAGCAGTGTGCCCCTGGAGCAGCAGATGGAGCAGTAGCATCTGATAATTTGTGGTTGTCATGGAGAAAGAGCGTGCCCCAGGAGTAGATGGAGCAGCAGCACCTGGGGATATTGTGGTGTTCACAGAAGAACAGCGTGCCCCTGGAGCAGTAGATGGAGCAGTAACATCTGGATAAATTGTGGTTTTCACAGAGGAGCAGCGTGCCCTGGAGCAGCATCTGGAGCTTTAGCATCTGGGCAAATTGTGGTTGTCACAGAGGGGCAGCATGCCCCCGGAGCAGCAGATGGAGCAGTAGCATCTGGGGAAATTGTGGTTTTCACAGAGAAGCAGTGTGCACCTGGAGATGTAGATGGAGCAGTAGCATCTGGAGATATTGTGGTTGTCACAGAAGAGCAGCACACCCCTGGAGCAGCAGCTGGAGCATTTGCATTTCAGGAAATTGTGGTTGTCACAGAAGTGCAGCCTGCCCCCGGAGCAGCAGCTGGAGCAGTAGCATTTGGGGAAATTGTGGTTGTCACAGAGGAGTAGCCTGCCCTCAGAGCAGGAGATGGAGGGGTAGCATCTGGGGAAATTTTGTTTGTCACAGAGGAGCCGCAGATGGAGCTATCCCATCTGGGGAAATTGTAGCGGAACAGAGGAGCAGCAGATGGAGCTGTAGCATCTGGGGATATTGTGGTTTTCACAGAGGAGCAGCATGCTGCTGGAGCAGCAGATGGAGCTGTAGCATCTGGGGAAATTGTGGCTGTCACAGAGAAGCAGCATGTTCCCGGGGCAGCAGATGGAGTAGTAGTATCTGCATAAATTGTGGTTGTCACAGAGAAGCAGCATGCCCCTGGAACAGCATCTGGAGAAGTATTATGTGGGGATATTGTGGTTGTCACAGAGAAGCAGTGTGCACCTGGAGCTGCTGATGGAGCACAACCATCTGGAAATATTATGGTTGTCCCAGTGGAGCAGCGAGCCCTGGAGCAGTAGATGGAGCAGCTGCATTTGTGGATATTGTGGTTGTAGCAGAGGAGCAGCGTGTCTTGGAGCAGTAGATGGAGCAGTACCATCTGGAGATATTGTGGTTGTCACAGAGGAGCACCATGCCCCAGAGCAGTAGGTAGAAGAGTAGCATCTGGGAAAATTTTGCTGGTCACTGAGGAGCAGCGTGCCCCCAGAGCAGCAGATGGAGTAGTAGCATCTGGGGTTGTCACAGAGAAGCAGTGTGCACCTAGCGCTGTTGATGGAGCAGTAGCATCTGGAGATATTGTGGTTGTCACAGAGGAGCAGCGTGCCCCCGGAGCAGCAGATGGAGCAGTAGCATCTGGATAATTTGTGGGTGTCGTGGAGAAACAGCATGCCCCAGGAGTAGATGGGGCAGTAGCATCTGGGGATATTGTGGTTTTCACAGAAGAACAGTGTGCCCCTGGAGCAGTAGATGGAGCTGTATCATCTGGATAAACTGGTTGTATCAGAGGAGTAGCGTGTCCCAGGAGCAGTAGATGGAGCAGTAACATCTGGATAAATTGTGGTTTTCACAGAGGAGCAGCGTGCCCTGGAACAGCAGCTGGAGCTTTAGCATCTGGGGAAATTGTGTTGTCACAGAGGAGCAGCATGCCCCCGGAGCAGTAGATGGAGCAGTAGCATCTGGATAAATTGTGCTTGTCCCAGAGAAACAGCGTGCCCTCGGAGCAGCAGATGGAGCAGTAGCATCTGGGGAAATTGTGGTTGTTACAGATTAGCACTGTGCCCCCAGAGCAGTAGTTGGAGCAGTACCATCTGGTGAAATTTTGGTTGTGACAAAGGAGCAGTGTGCCCCTTGAACATTAGATGGAGCAGTAGCGTCTGGTGAAATTGTGGTTGTCACAGAGGAGCAGCGTGCCTCCGGAGCAGTAGTTGGAGCAGTAAGGTAGGGTGAAATAATGGTTCTCGCACTGGAGCAGCATTCCGTTGGAGCAGTAGGATTAGTACCCGTCATCCTCCTACTGGAAGAGGGCATCCAGGAAGTTTTCCTTACTCCTGGCGCACATCACTCCCTCAAACAGGGTGCTGCATGTGAACCTTAATAACCTGCATTAGTCTGCTAGATTTCCCAACTTGTCTTTCTGATCATAGGTGACCCACAGTGTCCCCATCCTGAGTTTACAAAAGTGTCCCACCTTTTCTTTATTACTTTTTAATCTAACAAGCCTTAAATGTCCTGGATTTACCTCCCTAGGTTTTCTCCCCTGGGGTTTATCATACCTCTCTACTTTTCCCCTCCCTCTACACCAAACTTCATACCCCAGACCAATCCCTAGCCCAAGTCCCAGCGAAGCCCCAGCCAAGCCCTAGCCTAACCAAAGCCTTGGCCTCAGGCCAAGTCCCAGCCTGTCCCAAGCCCAGCCCTAGCCCCAGCCCCAGCCACATAATTAGATATATTGCATTACTGAGCTGGCCTTAATCTCATGACCTTTTCAACCTGGATGACAAACATAGTTTACCAACCTGGCCTTCCTGCCTGTCCTCAACCTTTATTCCAACTCATATGGCCTTAACCCCTTGACCTAGTATTAACATCTTGGCATTACCCAGGTGGAGTTAGCCACCTAGCTCTATTAAGGAAGGCCTTTACTTACTGATCTAAGCCACTCAGAGTTTTCAGTAACTTGGCTTTTTGACCTGGTCTCAACCTCACACTTTCGTCAACTTAGATTTACTTACCTTCCCTGGCCTTACCACCTAGTTTTATTCAGCCAGTGTTCACCTCCTCGCCTTCCCTGAACTGACTTACCCACCTAGTATTTGCCTCCAGTCTTCATTTGAGTGACTTGGCAACCTGCCCTTAATCCTACTGGGTACAGTATGAATCTCTAGGCCTCATGCACCTAGCACACCAACCTTACCTTACTCGTGTGCCATCAGTGACCCCTCCTTACCAATCAGAATCACCCAGCTGTGATCACACCTCTCCAGCTTACCCAGTTGGCCTTCACAACTAGCCTAAAGCGTTAGTCTTCCTCAAGTGTCCCAGCCCTACTGGCCTCAACCTGGTGTCATTCTGCTGTGTCTGAGTCTTTGGCTCTCCTTTCCTGGTCTCCACCTGGTGGCCCTCCCATTGACTGTATTTAGCTGACCTCATATAGGAGGCCTTCTTCATTTGACCTCCTTAAACTTAAACTTAGGGCCATACTCACCTGCCCTCTTCACATCTTGCTTGGCCTTAGCCAGCAAGATGTCATCTGCTGGCCTCATACTTATCTGCTGTTTACCTCCTAGTTTTATACAGCAGGTATTCATCTCCTCACCTTCCCTGTGTCTTACCCACACAGTATTTGCCTCCGGCCTTCATTTGACTGGCTTGGTGAATTGCTCTTAACCCTACTGGGTGTTTTCCCAGTTGATTTCACAGCCTGGTGTTACTAAAATAGTTTTTCATTGATGTGACTCTAGGCACTTGGTTTTAACAACCTGGTCGAATTCAGGGGCCTTTAGTAATATTATTGCCTTCATACCCTTACTGTATACTCATGGTATTACAAACTTCAATTTACCCATTTGGCCTTATTCACCTTAGTCACCATCTGGCCCTTCTCTTTGATTCTTCATGAGTTTGCCGAAAAATCCTGGCCGTACCCCATTGGTCACAACTTCCTGGCATTGTCCACATGTTCTTACTCACCTGCTTGTAATTAGCTTGCCTAAATCTCCTGTCAAGACTCAGTTGATTTTACCCACTAAGAGCGACCCCACCTGCCTTATGAGCTTCCTGCCATTGCTCCCCTTACCTTACTCCCTGGCCTTGTCCACCTCATGTTATGGCTGTGTCTAGGCCCCATTAGCCTTTCCCACCTGACCTAACCCTACGGGCCTTAATCTCATAGCCTTAACAACCTGGATTAGCTGGCTGGTTTTCTGGACTAGTCTAACTGATCATACATGACCCACATGGCCTCAACACTTGGTTTAAGAAACTGTTCTATTTGTTTTTATTATTTTTTAATCTAACAAGTCTTAATGACCTTGATTTGCCTCCCTAGGTTTTCTCCCCTTGTTTTATCATCCCCTTGCCCTTTTTCCCCTGCTCCACCTTCAATTCCATGCCCTAGTCCAAGCTCCAGCTCAAACCCCAGCCCCAGCCCCAGCCCCAGCCCCAGCCCCAGCCCCAGCCCCAGCCCCAGCTCCAGCCCCAGCTCCAGACTCTGTCCAGCTTTAGCTTGGCCCCAACCCCAACCCTAGCCCCAGCTGGAGGCCAACCCAGCCACAGCTTAGCCCAAACCCTGGCTCGAGCCTGAGCCCCATCCCAGCTCTAGCCTAGTCCTAATCCCAGCCCCAGGCCAAGCTGTTGCCCCTGCCCCTGCCCCATAATTAGACATCTTGGATTACTGAGCTGGCCTTAACCTTGTGATCTTTACAACCTGGATGACCAAGATAGTTTACCAACCTGGTCTTCCCACCTGTCCTCAGCCTTTCATTCCAACTCACGTGGCCTTAATCTGATCCAGTCTGTTTATTATTAATGTGTTGGCATTACCCAGGAAGTTAGCCATCTAGCTTTGTTCAGGAAGGCCTTAACTTACTGGCCTAAGCCAACCAGAGTTTTCAGTCACTTGGCTTTTTGACCTGGTCTTAACTTCAAGGTTTTGCCAAGTTAGATTTACCAACCTGCTTTGGCCTTGGTCATCCATTATGAATCTCCTGGCCTCTGGCACCTTCCATACCCAGCTGACCTTACCCATGTGCCATTAATGACCCAGCCTTACCAGCCCGAATCGCCCAGCTGATTGTGTCTCCCCAGCCTACCTACTGGTTCTTCACAATCAGTCTGAGGCTTCTATTCTTCCTAAGTGTCATACCCCTTCTGGCCTTAACCTGGTGTCATTCTGATGTGTCCTAGCTGCTGGATTTCCTCTGCTTGCCTTTACCTTGTGGCGCTACTGGTGGCTGTATTTACCTGACTTTACCCAGTAGGCCTTGTTCCCCTGACTTCATTTAAGTTAGGGCCATACTCACCTGCTCTCTTCACATGCTTGGCCTTAGCCTCCAAGTTGTCATCTGCTGGTCTCATACTTATCTGCTGTTCATTAATTAGTTTCATCCAGCTGGACTTCACCTCTTCACCTTCCCTGCCCTGTCTTACACACCCCACCTAGCATTTCCCTCCAGTCTTCCCTTGACTGGGTTGGTGTATTGCCCTTCATCCTACCTGGTGTTTCCCTATTGATGCCACAGCCTGGGGTTACTGAAATAGTTTTTCCATTGAGCTGGCTCTAGGCTCCTGGTTTTAATAACCTGGCCGAACTTAACCGATCTTAGTAATTTGATTGCATTCATCACATTATGGTATCCTCATGGTATAGCCCTTCTTGTCCAGTCTTCATGACTTTGCCTAAAAGTCCTGGCCATACCTGGCTGGCATTAACTTTTCGCTGTTGTCCATGTGCTCTTACACACCTGCCTGTAATTTGCTGCCTTCAATCTCCCATGAAGAACCAACTGATATTTACCTGCTAAGATTGACCCACCTGCCTTGTGAAGCTCCTGCCATTTCTCCCTTGCCCTTGCTCCCTGGCCTTGTCCATGTCATCTTATGGCCCTGGCCTGACACCGTTAGATTTCTCCACCTGACCTAACCCTATGGACCTTAATCTCATGGCCTTAACAACCTGGGTTAGGTAGCTAGATTTCCTGATGTGTCTGAGCGATCATATGTGATCCACATGTGGCAGAACCTCAATTTACCAATCTCTCCTGTTTTATTATTAGTAGTGGTATTTTTTAATGTAACAGGACTTAAAGATCTGGGTTTACCTTCCTGGTTTTATCCTGTTTAGTCATCCCCATACCCTTTTTCACTCACTTTACCCCCAATTCCACACCCCAGCCCCAGCCCATTTGATCCTCAGCCCAGGACCAACTTAGTCCAAGCCCTAGTGCCAGCCTGAGCCCCACCACAGCAATAACCCCAGCCCCAGCGGAAGACCCAGCCACAGCTCCAGCCTAATATTTAGACATCTTGCATTTCCAAGATGGCTTTAACCTCATTACCTTTTCAACCTTGATGACCAGCAAAGCTTACAAACCTGGCCTTCCCACCTGTCCTCAAACTTTCATTCTAACTCACATAGCCTTAACTCCTGACCTAGTCTGTTCAGTATTAATTCTTGGCATTATTCAGATGGAGTTAAAACCCTAGCTCTATTTAGGAAGACCTTAACTTACTGTCTTAAACCACCCAGAGCTTTCAATCACTTGGCTTTTTTTGTTTAAACCTGGTGTTATCCTCTCGGTTTTGCCTAGATTTACCCACCTGCCCTGGCCTTAATTGTCCAGTAGGAATCTCCTGGCCTCATGTACCTTGCTTACCCACCTGATTTTACTCATGTGCCATTAATGAAAAATCCTTACCATCCCAAATCCCCCAGCTGATCATACTTTCTCAGCCTTCCAGTTGGTCTTCACAATTACATTCAAGCTTCTAGTCTTCCTCAAATGTCGTAGCCCTTCTGGTCTTAACTTGGTGTCATTCTGCTGTGTTCATGCCTTTGGGTTTCCTGTCCTGGTCCTCACCTGGTGGCCTTCCCGGTGGCTGTATTTACTTGACCTTACCCGGTAGGCTTTCTTCACATGCCTTCATTAAACTTAGGGCCATGCTCACCTGCCCTCTTCACATGTTTGGCCTTAGCTAGCAAGACTATCTGTTGGCTTCATACTTTTCTGCTGTTTGCCACGTAGTTTTATCCTGTTGGGCTTCATCTCCCCTACTTCCCTACATTGTCTAACCCATCTAGTATTTGCCTTTGATCTTCATTTGTCTGGCTTGGTGGCTTGCCCCTAATCCTCCTTCGTGTCTTCCCTATTGATCACACTTTTGGGTTACTGAAATCGTTTATCAGGGAGGTGGCTCTAGGCATCTGGTTTTAACAACCGGGCCGACCTCAGTCATCTGAGTGTTCGCCACCTTATTGTATCCTCATGGCCTGACAAACTTCAAATTATCCATGTGGTCTTATTCACCTCATGGCTCTTCTCATCCAGTCTTCATTACTGTTCCTGAAGGTCCTGGCCGTACCTGACTGGCCATAAGTTCCTGCCATTATAATTTGCTAGCCTCAATCTCCCATCAAGACTTAGATGATTTTTGCAGCCCTGTGTACAACAGCGAAGACCTGAAACCAACCCAAATGCCCATCAATAATAAACTGGACAAAGAAAATGTGGCACCATATACACCATCGAATACTACACAGCCATAAAAATGATGAATTCGTGTCCTTTGTAGGGACTTGGATGAATCTGGAAACCATCATTTTCAGCAAACTGACGCAAGAACAGAAAACCAAACACCGCATGTTCTCACCCATAGGAGGGTGTTGAACAATGAGAACACGTGGACTCAGGGAGAGGAGCATCACCCACTGGGGGCAGTTGGTGGGGACTGGGGAGGGACAGTGGGAGGTGGGGAGGATGGGAGGAATAACATGGGGAGAAATACCTAAAGTAAAATAAAAATAAAAAGATAAAAAAAAAAGACTTAGATGATTTTACCCGCTAAGATTGACCCACCTGCCTTACGACGCTCCTGCCATTGCTCTCCTGCCCTTGCTTCCTGGCCTCCTCCACCTCATTTTACGTCCCTGGCCAGACCCCATTAGCCTTTCCCACCAGATGTAACCCTATGGGCCTTAACCTCATGGCCTGAACAACCTGGATTAGCCAGCTAGATTTCCCAACTAGCCTTACTAGTGACCCATATGGCCTCTACCCTCGGGTTCAGAAACTGTCCTATGTTTGTTTATTACTATTATTATTTAATCTAACTTGGCCTTAAGCACCTGGCTTTACCTCCCTAGGGTTTTTCCCTTGGTTTTATCCGACCCTGCCTTTTCTCCCTTGCTCTACCCCCAACTCCATGCTGTATCCCCAGCCAAAACCCCAGCCCCAGCCCCCTCTGTAGCTACAGCTTCAGCCCCTGCCCCATCCCCAGCCACAGCCTTTGCCCAGCCCCATACCCATTATTAGATGCCTTGCATTACCAACCTCGCCTTAACCTCATGACCTTCCCAACCTGGATGACTGACATAGCTTACATTTCATTCTAACTCACATGGCCTTAATCTCCTGACCAAGTCTGCCTAGCATTAACCTCTTGGCTTTACCCAGGTGGAGTTACCTACCTAGCTCTATTCAGGAAAGTGTTAACTTACTGGGCTAAGTCACCCAGAGTTTTCAATCACTTGGCTTTTTGATCTGGTCTTAACCTCACAGTTTTACCACCTGAGATTTACTCATCTTTCTAAAAAACCCCCGGCCTTACTTGTGCAGCATGAATCTCGGGCCCCATGTGCCTAGCATATCCACCTGATGTCACCCTGTGCCTTTAATGAGTCATCCTTTACCACCCAGCTGTTCCTACCTCACCAGGTTACCCAGTTGGCCTTCACAATTAGTCTCAAGCTTCTAGTCTTCCTGAACTGTGACAGCCCTCTTGGCCTTAACCTGGTGTCATTCTTCTCTGTCCCAGCCTTTGGCTTTCCTTTCCTGGTTTTCACCTGGTGGCATTCCTGGTTGCTGTATATACCTGACCTTACCCAGTAGGCCTTCTTCACCTGATGTCATTTAAATTAGGGCCATACTCACCTGCCCTCTTCATGTGCTTGACTTCAGCCAGCAAGATGTCATCTGCTGGCCTCATACTTACCTGCCGTTTACCACCTAGTTTTATTCTGCTGGCTTTCAGCTTTCTCATTGCTGTCCCCAACCTGTCTTGCCTGTCTAATATTACCCTTGGGTCCTCCTTTGGCTGGCTTGGAAAATTGCGCTTAATCCTACTAGATGTTTTTCTCATTGATTTCCCAGCCTGGGAATAGTCTTCTACTCAGCTGTATCTAAACATCTGGCTTTGACATCCTGACTGTGGTCAGGAGAAGTTTCTAACCTCATTGGCTTATCACTGTGTCTTCCATTGCTAGTATAAGGAACCTGGTGTTTATCTATATGGCTTTATTTACCTCCTGGCCATTCTCACTCAGGAAGTCTTTATTTTCTGGTCTGAAAATCTTTCCCTAACCCATCTGGCTATTAGTTCCTGCTCACCCTTATCCACCTAGCCTGGGAATAGTCTTCTATTCAGCTGGATATAAATACCTGGTGTGAACAAGCTGACTACATTCAGTAGAACTTCCTAAGGTAATTGGTTTCATCACCGTATCTCTCCTTCCTGGTATTAGGAACCAGGCATTGATATACCTGGCTTTATTAACCTCCCAGCCATTGTCACCAAGTCTTAATTTCACAGTCTAAAAGTCTTTCCATTTCACACATGGCTATTGCTTCCCACTCACCATTATCCACCTGGTCTTGCCTACCTGGCTTCAATTTGCTGGCATTGATCACTGGTGAAGATACAAGTGGTCATGCCTGTGAGGCCTTACTGTACTGCCATTTATCCCTGGTCTTACCCACTTCAGTTTAGGACCCTAGACATAACCCTGTTACCTTTCCTCTCCTGCTCTAATCCCTATGTGTCTTAACCTCATGGCCCTAACAAACTGGAGAAGCCACCTAGCTTTCCCACCTAGTTTTATCAACCATATGTGAGCCACATGGCCTTTATACTGGGTTAACACAATTGTCCTTAGCATTCTGATGTCAACTACCGTGTCTTAAGCCGCTGGATTTACCTCCTTAGGTTTACCTTTCTAGACATATCCTGCTGCCTCAACCTCATGGCTCAACAATCTAGATGACCAACATAGCTTACTAACCTGGCATTCCTACCTGGCCTTAACCTTTTATTGTCTCTCACATGGACTTAACCACCTGACCAAACCTGCTTAGCTTTAAAATCTTAGCATTACCCAGGTGGAGTTAGCATTACCCAGATGGAGTTAGCTTTGTTGAGGATCGTTACCTTACCCATGTCACCCATCCTGCCTTTTCAGTTGCTTGGCTTTCTCACATGGTCTTAACCTCTGTGTCTGGCCAAATTAGATTTCCCTAAATGCCTTATGAATCTGCAGCACTTACACACCATGCTGTACCCTCATGTCCTTACTAAGCAGAACTGACCGACTGATGTTATCTACCAAGTCTTACCTAGTGGCCTTTGCTGTTAGTGTTTTTCTTAATTTTTACTTTGAGATGGAGGCTTGCTCTGTTGCCTAGATTGGGGTGCAGTAAGGTGATCTCAGCTCAGTGCCACCTCCCCTTCCCATGTTGACGTGATTCTCATGCCTCTGCATGTAAAGGAGCTGTGATTACAGTTGTGCAGCACCATATCCAGAATATTTTTGCATTTGTAGTAAAGACCAGGTTTCACCATGTTGACCAGCTTGGTCTGCAACTTCCGACCTGAAGTCATCAGCCTGCGTAGGCCTCCAAAATTTCTGCAATTACAGGTGAGAGGCACTGTACCCTGCCTAGAATTAAACTTCTGGTCTTTCTCACCTCTCCCAGCCTTACTGGCTAACCAAATGTCATTATCCTCTGTCTTGACCCATGGCTTTCCTTTCACAGCATTCACCTTTTCATTCACCTGGGCTTACCCACTTGGGCTTGTTAACCTCCTGGCCTTACCCACTCAGTATGTATCCCCACCTAACCTCATGACCCCTACAGCTAAATTCAACTGCTGTAATCGACTGCCTGGTGTCAGCGAGCCAGCATAACTTAGTCTGCTGGCCTTATGCCCTTCTGGTGATTTATCCAGCCGGACTCCACCTCCTCGTCTTGCCTGCACTGTCTTACCCACCTAGTGTTTTCCTCTAGTTTTCATTTGACTGCTTTGGCAAATTGCCCTTTATCCTACTGGGTGTTTTCCCTATTGATTTCACAGCCTGGGGTTATTGAAATGGTTTTTCATTGACCTGGCTCTAGGCACCTGGTTTTATTAACCTGGCTGAAATCAGCTGACCTTAGTACGTAATCTGATTGTGTTCATCAGCTTATTGTCTGCTCATGGTATGACAAACTTGAAATTATCCATCTGGACGTATTTGCCTTCTGGCCCATCTTGTCTAGTCTTCATTACTTTGCCATAAGTCCTGACCTTACCCAACTGACCACGACTTCCCCATGTTCTTACTCACCTATTTGTAATTTACTGGCCTCAATCTCCTGTGTAGACTCAGGTGATTTTACCCACTAATATTCAGCCACCTGCCTTATGAAGCTCCTGCCGTTACTCCCCTGCCTTTTCTACCTGGTTTTGTCTATCTTATGCTGCAGCCCTGGTCTAACCCCATTAGCCTTTCCCACCTGACCTAACCCTATAGGCCTTAATCTGATGGTCTTAACAAACTGGATCAGTCAGCTAGATTTCCCCACTAGTCTTATTGATTATACATGACCCACATGGCCCCAACCCTTGGTTTAGGAATTTTGATTATTATTATTATTATTTATCTAATAGGCTTTAAAGACCTGGCTTTATGTATTTAGGTTTTGTTCCCCTGTATTTATTATCTCCCTGCATTTTTCCCTTTGCTGTTACCCCAACTCCATCCCCCAGCACATTCCCCAGCCCAAGCCCCAGTCTAAGCCCCAGTTCAAGCTCCAACACAGTCCCAGCTCTGCCCAAGCCCCAGAGTCAGCCCAAGGCCCAGCCCAGCCCAAGCTTAGTCTAAGCCCAGCCCCAGCCCAGGGTACACCCAGCCCCAGCTTGATAATTAGTCATGTTACATTACCTAGCTGGCTTTAACCTCATGACATTTTCAACCTGGATTCCCAACATAGCTATCAACCTGGCCTTCCCATCTGCCCTCATCCTTTTACTGTAACTCACGTGGCCTTAACCTGCTGACTTGGTCTGTTTAGTATTAACGTCTTGGCATCACCCCAGTAGAGTTAGCCACGTAGCTCTATTCAGGAAGGCCTTTACCTACTGGCCCAACCCACCTAGTTTTCAATCACTTGGCTTTTTGTCCAGGTCTTAACCTCTCGGTTTTGCTAACTTAGATTTACCCACCTGCCCTGTCTTTAATCATCCAGTATGACTCTCCTGGCCTCATGAACTAAGCACAACCCCCGACCTTACCTGTCTTTCATGAATGAGCCATTTTTACTAAGCTGAATCGCTCAGCTCATCGTACATCCCCAGCATACCTAGTTAGCCTTCACAGGTAGTCTCCAGATTCAGTCTTCCTCATGTGGGAGAGCCCTACCAGCCTTAACCTGGTGTTCTTCTGGTCTGTCACGGTCTTTGGCTTTCCTTCCTGGTCTTTACCTGGTGGCCACCCCAGTGGCTGTATTTACCTGATTTTACCCAGTAGGCCTTCTTCCCCTTACCTCATTAAATTTAGGGTTATAACTCACCTGCCTTCTTCATATGCTTGGCCTTAGCCAGATAGACGTTGTCTTCTGGCATCATACATATCTGCTGTTCATTATGTAGTTTCATCCAACTGGTCTTCACCACGTCACCTTCCCTGCACCGTCTTACCTACCTAGTATTTGCCTCCCATACTCAGTAGTCTGGATTGGTGAGTTGCCCTTAATCCTACTAGGTGTTTTCCCTATTGATTTCACAGGCTGCCATTAATGAAATTATTTTTCATTGAGCTGGTTCTAGGCACCTGGTTTCAACAATCTGGACAAACTCAGCCGATGTTATTAATTTGATTGTCTTTATCAGCTTATTGTATCCTTATGGTATGACAAACTTGAAATTATGCATCTAATCTTATTCACCTCGTGGCCCTTTTTATCCAGTCTTTATGACTTTGCTTTGAAGTCCTGGCTGTATGCAACTGGCCATAAATTCCCTTCATTGTCCACATGTTCTTTCTCTCTGCTGTTTGTGATTTGCTGGCCTCAGTCTCCCGTGACGACCCAACTGATTTTATGTGATAAGATTGACCCACCTGCCTTATGAAGCTCCTGCCATTGCTGCCCTGCCCTTGCCCCCTGGCCTTGTTCACCTCATGTTCTGGCTCTGGCTAGATCACGTTAGCCTTTTGCACCTCTCCTAACTCTGTGGGCCTTAACGTCATAACCTTAACAACCTTGATGAGCCAGGTAGATTTCTCAAGTAGTTTTACTGATCATAGGTGACCCACATGGCCCCCACCCTCGGTGTTATGAAACTATCATATGTTTTATTTTTTATTAGTATTATTCTTTAATCTAATAGCCCTTAAGACCTGGATTTACGTTCCTAGGTTTTCTTCCCTGGTTTTATCATGCACCTGCCTTTCTTTTCTTACGCTACCCTCATCTCTATGCCATGCCCTGGCCCCAGCCCCAGCCCTATCCCCAGCCAAAGCCCCAGCCCTAGCCCCAGCCCTAGCCCCAGCCTTAGCTTAGCTGAAGCCCTAGCCTGAGACCCAGCCCAGCCCTTGCCTAGCCAGTTTCAGCCCCAGACCCAGTCCCAGTCCCAGCCTTAGCTACAGCCTCAGGCCCAGCCCCATAATTAATCATCTTGCATTATCGAGCTGGCCTTAATGTCATTACCTTTTTAGCCCCAGCCCGA